GGCTGGAGTGCAATGATGCGATCTTGGCTCACTGCAACCTCTGCCTCCCGGGTTCAAGCTATTCTCCTGCCTTAGTCTCCTGAGTAGCTGGAATTACAGGCATGTGCCACCACGCCCAACTGTTTTTTGTTTGTTTGTTTTGTATTTTTAGTAGAGATGGGATTTCGCCATATTGGCCAGGCTGGTTTCGAACTCGTGACCTCAGGTGATCCACCCACCTCAGCCTCCCAAAGTGCAGGGATCACAGGTGTGAGCCACTGCTCCTGGCCCCTTTGGGGCTTTTCTGTATCTGAAGGCCTGTAGTTCAGTGTTCCCAAGGGACTTCCTGCTGGCCAGAAATGGTGGCTATAGGAGCTAATGATCAGTCCCCTCCTCACAATGACAGGGTTGATGACAATGCTTACCATGTGCCTGGTCCTAGTCTATGCTCTACATTTAAACCTCACAACAGGCCGGGCACAGTGTCTCCCACCTGTAATCCCAGCACTTTGGGAGGCCGAGGCGAGTGGATCGCTTGAGCCCAGGAGTTCGAGACCAGCCTGGGCAACATGGTGAAATCCCGTTTCCACAAAACATACCAAAATTAGCTGGGCTTGGTGGTGCATGCCTGTAATCCCAGCTGCTTGGGAAGCTGAGGTGGAAGGATCATTTGAGCCCCTGAGGCAGAGGGAGCAGTGAGCCAAGATCACACCACTGCACCCCAGCGTGGGCAGCAGAGTGAAACCCTGTCTCAAACAACAAAATAAAACAGAACCTCGTAATAATCCCTGGAGGTAGGTACTATTAAAATCACCTTCATTTTACAGATGTGGACACAGAGAGGTTAAGTGACTTTCTCAAGATCACACAGCTAGGAAGTGGCAGTTGCTCTTAACCACTAACCACTGTGGTGTGCCGTTTCCCAATTCTTTACCTTTTTTTTTTCTTTTTTTTTGAGATAGAGTTTTGCTCTTTCGCCCAGGATGGAGTGCAACGGCGCAATCTCGGTTCACCACAACCTCTGCCTCCCGGGTTCAAGCGATTCTCCTGCCTCAGCCTTCTGAGTAGCTGGGATTACAGTCATGCACCACCACAAAATTAGCCCGGCTAATTTTGTATTTTTAGTAGAGACTGGGTTTCTCCATGTTGGTCAGGCTGGTCTCGAACTCCCGACTGCAGATGATCCGCCCGCCTCAGCCTCCCAAAGTGCTGGGATTACAGGCATGAGCCACCGCGCCCGGCCCTTTTTATTTTATTTATTTATTTATTTATTGAGACACTGCTCCATTACCCAGGCTGAATGCAGTGGTGTGATCGACCTCCTGGGTTCAATCCTCTGACCTTGGCAGGGATTACAGACTTGAGTCACCCCGCCTGGCCTCCCAGTCCTTCACTGTAACATTGTTCTGTTAATTGCATTGCCCTTTAGGTTGGTTATCTCCAAGGATTGTGAGCAATCGTTAACACCTTAGTATGAATTAGCCAATATTTTCCCATCATGGAACAACAGCAATTGTTGCTGTGGTTTAAAGGGACTCTGTAGAGCAGGAGTTAAATAGTTGGGCTCTGGAATCATAATGCCTGGGACTGAAGCCCAGCGCCACCATTTCCCAGCCATGTGACTTTGAACAAGTGACATCCCTAATCTGGGCCTCTGTTTCCTCATCTGCAAAGTACTCATTTTCCAGATGAGGATACTGAGGCCTAACACACAGCACACACAAGACTTTAGAACCTGGGTTTTGAGCACATACCGCCTCCACCAGGATGAGGAACCCAAACCAGGTTCTGTGAGAGGGAAGTAGAAGGGGTTCTGCAGGCCCAAGTGGGGTGTTCTGGGACAGGGTCCCAGGAGCTGGGATGTCAGCAGGAAGGACTTGCTCATTTTCTATACAGTGTGGAGGAAAGGGGTTACTGGAAGCCTTGGGTGCATCTGCACAGAGACGGCAAGGTCACCTGAACGGCTGGACAGGCCAGGGTGCTCCTGGATGCTCCTCCTCAGGGGGCTCTTCTCTTCCTCCCAGACTGGAGTTCAGACCCCCAGGATAAATGCCTAATCCTGGCGGGGCCACTTGATGGCACAGGTGGGGACAGGGCCCTGGGGCCCCAACTTCAGTCAGTGGAGGCGAGGTGGGAGATGTGCTTTGTCCTTGGTGAGATAGCCCAGCTCTGTCCCTGCCCTAGTCCTAAGCACAGCCCCAGCTCCTGATTATACACACCTGGGACCACTGGTCCAACCAGAACCATTAAAATGTTGAAATAGGCCGGGCGCGGTGGCTCACTCCTGTAATCCCAGCACTTTGGGAGGCCGAGACGGGTGGATCACAAGGTCAGGAGTTCAAGACCAGCCTGGCCAAGGTAGTGAAACCCCGTCTCTACTAAAAATACAAAAATTAGCCGGTGTGGTGGTGCACACCTGTAATCCCAGCTACTCGGGAGGCTGAGGCAGAAGACTCACTTGAACCCAGGTTTCAGTGAACCGAGGTTTCTGTGAACCAGGTTTCAGTGAACCGAGATCACACCACTGCACTCCAGCCTGGGTGACAGAGCAAGACTCCATCTCAAAAACATAAATAAATAAAATAAAACAAAATGTTGAAATATAGGCCAGACCTAGTAGCTCACACCTGTAAACCCAGCACTTTGGGAGGCCGAGGTGGGCAGATCACTTGAGGTCAGGAGTTCAAGACTAGCCTGGCCAACATGGTGAAACCCCATCTCTACTAAAAATACAAAAAGTAGCCAGGCATAGTAATGCGCCTGTTATCCCAGCTACTTGAGAGGTTGAGGTAGGAGAATCACTTGAACTTGGGAGGTGGAGGCTGCAGTGAGCTGAGATCACACCACTGTACTCCAGCCTGGATAACAGAGCGAGACTCTGTCTCAAAAAAAAAAAAAAAAAAAAGATGGCTGTGCACGGTGGCTCACGCCTATAATCCCAGCATTTAGCGAGGCTGAGGTGGTCGGATTACCTGAGGTCAGGAGTTCAAGACCAGCCTGACCAACATGGTAAAGCCCCGTCTCTATTAAAAATACAAAAAATTAGCCAGGCATGGTGGCACATGTCTGCAATCCCAGCTACTCAGGAGGCTGAGGCAGAAGAATCACTTGAACCCAGGAAGCAGAGGTTATAGTGAGCCAAGATCACACCATTGCACTCCAGCCTGGGCAACAAGAGCAAAACTTCATCTCAAAAAAAAAAAAAAAGATAATGTTGAAATAAAGGACTGGGCATGGTGGGTGAATTGCTTGAGCCCAGAAGTCCAAGATCAGTCTGGACAACATAAGGAGACATCGTCTCTACAAAAAAGTAAAAAAATAGCCAGGCGTGATGCTCACGCCTGTAATCCCAGCACTTTGGGATGCCAAGTTGGGAGGACTTATTGAGCCCAGGAGGTCAAGGCTGTAGTGAGCTATGATTGTGTCACTGCACTCCAGCCTGGGTGACAGAGTGAGGCTCTGTCTCTAAAATAAAATTAGGTCAGGCACAGTGGCTCACCTCTGAAATCGTAGCACTTTGGGAGGCCGAGACAGGCTAATAATTTGAGCCCAAGAGTTCAAGACCAGCCTGGGCAACATAGCAAGATCCCGTTTCAGAAAAAAAAAAAAAATGCCGGGCATGGTGGTGCATGCCTGTAGTCCCAGCTACTTGGGAGGCTGAGCTGACAGGATCACCTGAGCCTAGGGAGGTCAAGGCTGCAGTAAGCCTTGACTCCAGCCTGAATAAGACCCTATCTCAAAAAACAAAATATATTTTTTTAAATAATAAAATTTAAAAACATAAAATAAAAATTTTTTAGAAAGCCACTACCCACTTCTGCGCCGGGCATGGTGGCTCACGCCTGTAATCCTAGAACTTTGGGAGGCTGAGGCGGGCGAATCACGAGGTCAGGAGATCGAGACCATTCTGGCCAACATGGTGAAACCCTGTCTCTACTAAAAATACAAAAAAAAAAATTAGCTGGGTGTGGTGGCGCGTGCCTGTAATCCCAGCTACTTGAGAGGCTGAGCAGGAGAATCACTTGAAGCCAGGAGGCGGAGGTTGCAGTGAGCCAAGACTGCGCCACTGCACTTCAGCTTGGCAACAGAGAGAGACTCTGTCTAAAAAAAGAAAGAAAGAAAGAAAGAAAGCCACTACCCTCTAATGGCCCAGCTGCTCCCCTGGGACCCTCCAGGTCTCTCCATGCCCCAGCATGAAAGGATTAACCCCAGTTCAATAGGGGGTTTCCCTGACCCAGCTCTGGGGGCCATTGTCCTTCCTGACTGGTGGATGGCCCTGGCAATATTTGGTATTTTCCCTGGCTCTGCCCCAATATCAATCCCTCCACCCATAAGTTCAGAATCCTCAGAGAGGGGTATCCATTTCACAGAACCCCTATGCATCCTTCAAAGCCTACCTTAATGTCACTTCCTTCAGGAGGCCCTCCCAGATTTCTTCACCACCCCCAGAGTGAATAGCTCCCTCCCCGCTGCCGGGCTCCCAGGTATCTTGAGCCATTCAGCACACCTTGCTCTGATCCTCATACTCAGGCCCTTCTCCCCCCATAGTGTGTGAGCACCTTGATGCCAGAGACCATCTTCCTCTCATCTTTGCAGCCTCAGTACCAAGGGCCATTTAAGCACAGTGCAGATTTCATGGAGTGGCTGAATGATTTGTTTGTTGTGTGATCACCTGTACTGAGTCAATATCGGTCACCTTCCGTCATGAACATGCCCCTTGACCCAGATTCCTGCAGGAGCACGCATATAGGGGCCCTGCTGGCTGGGACTGGGGATAGGGGTGGGGTGGGGAGTTCAAGGGAAGGTGAGGTCTAGGATATGAGTCCCAAGGGCGCAGGCTCAGCAAGGCCCGTTCTCATGCTCTCTGGCCCAGGAGGAGTGATTCTCCATCTGGCAGGCCCAACTGCGGTGCTGGGACAGGGACATGAGCAGAGGCCACAGGAGGAGAGAGGGAGGTTGTGGGGGGAGCTCGGGGAAGCCCATGGTAACCGGGCGGGGGGAGGAAAAACAACCACACAGTGTTATTGTTACAGAACCATTAAATACAACTTATACACAAGCTGGGCGGTGTCGGCAGGGCAGGGAGAGTGCGAGAGGGTCAGGGGTGAGCAGTCCGGGCTCGGTCCTGGAGGGGGCTGAGGCTGCCATCGTGGGAGGGGCTGGGCTGGCGGAGGCCGGGCTGCCTGTGGAGGCCTTGAAGCTTTGCCAGCAGCTCCTGGATGAAGTCCTGAGACAGGGCGGGGGAGCTGAGAACATGGGAACATCGCGGGGGCACCCCCTGCCCCTATCCAGCCCAGTCCCTGACCTGGGCGCCTCCTCCTGTTCTCTGATTGTGGGGTTGGGGGAGTTAGGGGCGGAGGCTATAGACATAGAGAGAAAAGTGAGCTGGGAAGAAGACAGAGCTGGGGAAAGAGCAATGGGAGGAATGGAGAGAAAGAGCTAGGAAGACAGAGATCCAAGGAGACAGATAGGGAGTGGGGGAGGGGGAGAAACAGACACAGAAAGAGAGAGACGTGTAGAGATAGAGACAGACAGAGACATAGGGACAGAGAAAGAAACACAGACACGTGGAGACAGGTCCCCAGAGATAGATCCAGGGCGGACAGAAACGCAATGACGTTTGTCCCTCAGAGCTAGTTGGAGAAACATGAATAGTTTTCCCTTTTAAAGCAGGGAAGGAAGTGGGAGGGGTTGGGCCACTCAGCTTCAGGGCCTGGGAAGAGGGAGGGCCCCCAGAGGTGGGGAAGGGAGCCCGCGGTGGCAGAGGCAGTGACAGGGGAGAAGGACAGAGGGAGACTGAGCCTGAAGGTTGGCGGCCAAAGGACAGGCACAGGAGAGACAGAAACAAGACAGATGGGGGAGGACAGAATGGAGCCCCCTCGGCAGGTTGGGGAGAGGGGGAGAGATACAAGGAGGAGGACAAAAGATACCCCTGCAGACCAGAAAGAGCTGCAGAGGGTGGGGGAGGGGGTTCCCCAGAGACCCTTCTGCCTGTCCCAGGCACGGTCAGCTTCTTCCTACTCTCCCATCAGAGAACTTGGGGCCAGAACAGGGCCCATAATGAGGGACAGAAAACTCACCTCGACAGGTTTCCCACACGACTTCAGGAGTCCCTAAAACCCCCAACCAAAAATAAAACAAAACAAAACAAAACAGTAAATGACTAACAGCTACTCCCCTCCAGCCCCTTCCCTTTCCCAAAAAGCCCCAGCAGCAAGACAAATGGAAGTCAGACTCCAGGGTGGACTGCCTACCAAGCTTCAAGAGAGGAACAGAGCCCAAGGGGCATGTGGAGTGACTCAGGGCAGGGGTGAGTCACTAGATCCAGAGAGGGCGAGAGGGTCACACAGCACTTCTCTCCTCTAAAAAGGCATATGCCATAAGCAAGGCCATGGCTGCCAAACTGCCTGGGTTCGATGCCCAGCTCTGCTCCTTCTGAGCTGTGTGACACTGGGCAAGGGATTCAACCTCTCTGGGCCTCATTTTCCTCATGGGGAAAATGGAGCTCACACTAGCAACTGCTTCGGAGGGTTTTGTGAGCGTTAAATGAGTGAATACATGTAAAGCCATCACACCAGTGCCCAGCATCTAGTGAGCACTCAGTAAACATGTGAACTATTGCTATTATTTTTAGGGAGGTGCAAAGTGGGGAGCTGGGGGACACTTCCCCGCCACCTACCTGGATTTTCCGGCTTCTCTCCTCTTCACTCTCTAACTCCAACAATTCGTCAATGTTGATCTCGTCGGGCATGTCTGCCTCCTAGAGCCAGGGAGAGAGGGGTGCCTAGGAACGCCTTCCCTCCCTCCCTCGCCTTTGTCCAGAGCTCTGCAGGAGCCCCACAGGCCCCAGGGCCCAGCTGGCGGGTTCTGGACCATTCATGTGGCAGTCAGGGACGGCACTGCCAAGGCAGGACATCTGGGTGTTGGGGGGGAGGGGTGACAGATGGGCTGATAGAGCCCCAGGGCCCTGTACCAGCCCGATGCCTAGGCCCATGGGCCCCGGGAGCCTCGGGGCTGGCACGGGTCTCTCGCCTTGGCTCCAGTTCCCACAGAGAAAAACAGGCCTAGTGGAGTCCTGGAATGTCAGATTCTGGGATTCAGGAGAGGGGCTGGCTTCTGCCCTTTCAAGGAGAAGTCTTAGCACTAGGTGTGGGGGAGGAGAGACTGGCAGCCAGCAGCCAGCTGGGGCGGCCCCTTCCCCCAGGGGACAGGAAGGGAGGGGACAGCTTGGGCCAGCCCCTGGGGGGCCAAAATGCAGCCTGATGAGACCGGAGGGAGGACCACTGAGGCCCCTCAAGGTGGGTGGGTGGGATGAGTCATGAGCTCAACTCAGCTGCTAAGAGCAGGGTGCTTAGTGTGGCCTCTACAGGCAGTGGCCCAAGCGCAGGCTGGCTCAGTCACCCTGCTGGGAACAGGACCCAGCTGTCCCCAGCTGTTGAGGGAGCAAGAGAGCCTTGGGGTCATGAATCCTTTCCTCCCCAACCCAAAGTCCGGCTGTCGGCTTCAGGCCTGGGGCTTCAGGGCTGGATGGTCCTGGTTCATGTGTGGTGAAGAGGCTTCAGCAAGGACACAGGTGTGTGAGTCTCTGCCAGGGCTACTGCCTGATGCCAAGGGCCCGGGGCTGGTTGAGCAGGCAGAGGGACCCGGCATCGTGTAGTGGCTTCATATAGTGGCCTATGGTCCTGCAGGTGTGAGATGTGTGGCTCTGGCTTGGGTGCGTGACACATCAGCATGTGTCCATAGTCAGCTGTGGGGCCCACCACCCAAGCATGACCTCATAGATGACACCTGCCACTAGCAACCAGATTGGTTCACCGGTATGGGCCCAGGTCTGAGAACAGAGGGACTGCATGTCACTGTGGGGGAAGGGCCATGCCTTCCACCACTGTTGCACGATGAAGAAGAGGACTCGTGGGTCCTGTGTACACTGTAGCATACAGAAGTCACAGAAGGCCCAGAGCAATGGCTCACGCCTGTAATCCTGACATTTTGGGAGCCCAAAAATAGAGAATTGCTTGAGCCCAGGAGTTCAAGACCAGCCTGGGCAACATAGCGAGAGAGTGAGGCCCGATCTCTTTTTCTTTTCTTTTTTTTTTTTTTTGAGACAGAGTCTCCTTCTGTCACCCAGGGTGGAGTGCAGTGGCACGATCTCGGCTCAGTGCAACCTCAGCCTCCCAGGTTCAAGTGATTCTCCTGCCTCAGCCTCCCTAGTAGCTAGATTACAGGTGCCCACCACCATGCCCGGCTAATTTTTGTATTTTTAGTAGAGAAGGAGTTTCACCATGTTGGCCAGGCTAGTCTCGAACTCCTGACCTCAAGTGATCTGCCCACCTCGGCCTCCCAAAGTTCTGGGATTACAGGCGTAAGCCACTGTGCTCGGCCAGTAAGGCCCCACCTCTAAGGAAAAGAAAAAAGAAGTCACTGAAAGTGTGACCTCAAGCAGAAGCTCAAGTGATGAAGTACCTGTTTCTGTCATGGAGCTACGGCTTAGGCTCTTGTGTGCCTGTGAACAGCAGTGGGTTCTGCAGTTGTATGTCTGCCTGTTCCTATAGCTTACAGTTTTATGTCTGGGTATAGTTATAAACTCTGTTGGGCTTTGTTTGTTTTTGAGACACAGTCCCACTGTGTTGCCCAGGCTGGAGTGCAGTGGCGCAATCTTGGTTCACTGCAACCTTGGCCTCCCAGGCTCAAGCAATCCTCCCACCTCAGCCTCCCGAGGAGCTGAGATTACAGGTGTGTGTGTGCCACCACGCCCGGCTACGTTTTAATATTTTTGGTAGAGACAGGTTTTTCCCATGTTGCCCAGGCTGGTCTTGAACTCCTGACGTCAAGCAATCCTCCCACCCCAGCCTCACAAAGTGCTGGGATTACAGGCGTGAGCCACTGTGCTGGGCCAATTTCTGTTGTTTTATGTCTTTGAGTGGCTGTGGATCAGCGCTTATGCTTGCAGGTGGTAATAGTTTTTTCTTTAGGAGATAGGAAGGGCCGTAACTTGAGTCATTTTGTGTTCCAGTGGGGTTGTGCTGTATCTGCCTACAGCAGTGGCCCACGCCGCTGTGTGTGCGGGTGGCTGTGGCTGTAGCACATGTTGAACTGTAGGTGACCCTCCACCAACCCCCACCCCCCGCCCCCGCGTGTGTCCTTGTGGGTTTGTGCATGGCTGTTACTTCTGTGTTGTGTCCGTGAGCGGCTAGAGCTTCCTTCACTGTGCACATCTGTGTCTGCTTTTGCTTCCTTTGCCATGGGTCTCTGTGTGGCTGTATCTCCCTGTCACTATGTCTATGTTTGGCTTTATGACACCCCCCTTCCCCCACTCTTTCTCCAGATGTGGTGGTTCCAGCTCAACTTAGCCTCCTCCCTCCTCATATGCTAAACTCCTGGCCCTCCCCAGGCATTTGGACACATCTCTGGAGACTCAGGTGTTTGTATGTTGCTCTCGGTGTGTCCACAAGCACAATGCCATAGGGCACGGACAGGGCCAGGCCAGTGAGTGCCCAGCCCTGGGGCACTCGTCCTCTTGTGCAGACCAGGCTGACCGTGCACCCAGCGAGTGAGCACCGAGACCCCAAGGGCGTGGGATCTCCGCGCCCGGGCTCCATCTGTCCCCGACCACTCCCGAGCCCTCCCCGGGCTCACCATGCCGCGGTACAGCTCCTCCAGGCGCCCGTCGATCCACTTCTCCACGTCCAGCCGTCGCTGCAGCTCCCGCCGGTCATACTTGACGGTGACGCGCGCGTGCCGCTTCTGCAGCCCCCCGGGACTGCCCCCTGGCCCACGGGCCCGCGACGGAGACTGCAGCTTGCTCAGGACGCGCTTGCCCAGCCGCTGAGCTGCCATCGCGCTGCTGGCCCCAGCCCGGTCCCGCGCTGTGCGCCTTCGCCTCGCGCCCGGGGTGCTTCTTACGGGCCGGGGCGGGGCTGGCCGGGGGCGGGGGCTCGGGCTCGCCTGGAGGTCGGCCCCGCCCCGGCCGCCCTCGGCCTCAGTTTCTCCGTCTGCAACGCGAGAGTAGGCCTCTGCGTCGGCTTGAGGCACGCAGTCATGCGGGGTTCAGGTATGGGCGGGGACCCAGAAGCCCAGGTGGGTCCTTGCGCCGGGGACTCCGGGGCCTGGATCCCGTGGGGCGGGAGCCTGGGACAGACACTTGGGACCCGGCCTGTCTGCGCCCTCTGGCGGTGGCAGGGGTGGTGCGGGAGCGCCTGCGCCACCATCGCTGTAGAAGATCGAGCAATCACTTGTTCCTTCGTTCATTCATTCACTCATCCATCCATTTGTTCACTCATTCCGTTTAACGAATTTATTTTTTGAATCGGTGTCTCCCTCTGTTGCCCAGGCTGGAGTGCAGTGGCGCGATCTCGGCTCATCGCAACCTCAGCCTCCCAGGTTCAAGCGATTCTCCTGCCTCAGCCTCCGAAGTAGCTGGGATTACAGGGATGCACACCACACCCAGCTAATTTTTGTATTTTTAGTAGAGACAGGGTTTCGCCATGTTGCCCAGGCTGGTCTCGAACTCCTGACCTCAAGTGATCTGCCTGCCTCCGCCTCCCAAAGTGTGGGGATTACAGGTGTGAGCCACTGCCCCTGGCCCCATTCAACTAATATCTATTAAGTATCCACTCTGTACCAGGCACTGCTCTACGCTCCAGGGATACAGCAAGGAACAAAACAGACAAGCCCAGTTCCACGCAGTTGACAGCTGTAGCCGGGACACACAAGAAACACAGTAAGCATGGTATTATACAGTTTATTATCATATAAGTGCTTTGGAGAAATAGAAAGCAGAAAAGGACAAATGGAGTGACGGTAGAGTTGCAATTTTATCGAGGGTAGCCAGGGAAGTCCCTTACTTCAAAATAGTCGTCCCACTTCTAATTATAAGCAGCAAGAATTGTACTTTAAAATTTAAATGTGGCTAGGTACAGTGGCTCACGTCTGTAATCCCAGAACTTTGGAAGGCCAAGGCGGCTGGATCACGAGGTCAGGAGTTCAAGACCAGCCTGGCCAACATGCTGAGACCCCACCTCTCTAAAAATACAAAAGTTATCTGGGTGTGGTGGCACGTGCCTGTAATTCCAGCTACTCGGGAGGCTGAGGCAGGAGAATCGCTTCAACCCGGGAGGCAGAGGTTGTGGTGAGCCAAGATAGCACCATTGCACTCCAGCCTGGGCAACAAGAGCGAGATTCTATCTCAAAATAAATAAGTTAAATTAAATAAAATAATAATAAATAATTGTTTATTTATTATTGGTGGTTCAATAATATGAACCACACGGTGGTTCATGCCTGTAATCCCAGCACTCTGAGAGGCCGAGGTGGGCAGATCACCAGGTCCAGAATTAGAGACCAGCCTGGCCAACATGGTAAAACCCCATCTCTACTAAAAATACAAAAAAAAAAAAAAAAAAAAAAAAACATAGCCAGGTGTGGTAGTGTGCACCTGTAATTGCAGCTACTGGGGAGGCTCAGGCAGAAGAATTGCTTGAACCCAGGAGGCGGAGGTTGCGGTGAGCCGAGATGGTGCCACTGCACTCCAGCCTGGGTGACAGAGCAAGACGCCATCTCAAAAAAACAAAAAAAAAATTGTAGAGACAGGGTCTCACTATGTTGCCTAGGCTGTTCTCCAATTCCTGAGCTCAAGCAATCCTCCCACCTTGGCCTCCCAAGGTGCTAGGATTATAGGCATGAGCCACCTCACCCCACCAATCAGCCATAATGTAAAACTTTTGAGTTTCAAAGAACATCACCAAGAAAGTGAAGAGACAACCCATAGAATGGTAGAAAAAAAAATAGCAATCATGTAACTCATAAGGTGTTGGGATGAGCCACCACACCGGGCTGAACTGTACACTTTGAAAAGGTGAATTGGGCCGGGCACAGTGACTAACGCCTGTAATCCCAGCACTTTGGGAGGCCGAGGCAGGTGGATCATGCGAGGTCAAGAGTTAGAGACCAACCTGGCTAACATGGTGAAACCCTGTCTCTACTAAAAATAAAAAAATTAGCTGGGCATGGTGGCATATGCCTGTAATCCCAGCTACTTGGGAGGCTGAGGCAAGAGAATTGCTTGAACCCAGGAGGGGGATGTTGCAGTGAGCCGAGATCACACCATCACACTCCAGCCTGGGCAACAAGAGTGAAACTCCATCTGTAAATAAATAAATAAATAAATAAATAAATAAATAAATAAGGATGAGTTGTATGGTATGTGAGTTATATCTCAATAAAGCTGGGGTTTTTTTTTGTTTGTTTTTTGAGATAGAGTCTCACACTGTTGGCGAGGCTGGAGTACAATGGCACAATCTCAGCTCACTGCAACCTCTGCCTCCCGGGCTCAAGTAATTGAGCCTCAGCCTCCTGAGTAGCTGGGATTACAGGGGTGTGCCACCATGCCTGGCTAATTTTTGTATTTTTAGTAGAGACGGGGTTTCACCATGTTGGCCAGGCTGGTCTTGAACTCCTGACCTCAGGTAATCCACCCACCTCGGCCTTCCAAAGTGCTGGGATTTCAGGCGTGAGCCACCGTGCCAGGCCTCAATAAAGCTTTTTTTTTTTTTTTTTTTTGAGGCGGAGTCTCGCTCTGTCGCCCAGGCCGGAGTGCGGTGGCTGGATCTCAGCTCACTGCAAGCTCCGCCTCCCGGGTTTACGCCATTCTCCTGCCTCAGCCTCCCGAGTAGCTGGGACTACAGACGCCCACCACCTCGCCCGGCTAGTTTTTTGTATTTTTTAGTAAAGATGGGGTTTCACCGTGTTAGCCAGGATGGTCTCGATCTCCTGACCTCGTGATCCACTCATCTCGGCCTCCCAAAGTGCTGGGATTACAGGCTTGAGCCACAGCGCCCAGTCAAGCTGTTTTATTTCTAAATTAAAAACAGGCCAGGCGCCATGGCTTACGTCTGTAATCCCAGCACTTTGGGAGGCTGAGGTGAGTGGATCATCTGAGGTCAGGAATTTGAGACCAGTCTGGCCAACATGGCGAACCCCTGATTCTACTAAAAATGCAAAAAAATTAGCCAAGCATGGTGGTGCACCCCTGTAATCCCAGCTATTCGGGAGGCCGAGGTGGGAGAATTGCTTGAACCTGGGAGGCAGAGGCTGCAGTGAGCTGAGCTCGCACCATCACACTCCAGCCTGGGCGACAGAGCAAGACCCCCATCTCTAAAAAAATAAAAATAAAAAACAACTATCCATAGCTCCCCATGGCCCTCAGTCTAAAGGACAAACTCCTTGGTTTAGCAGTCCCAGCTCTGCCAGGGACAGTCCCGTTTCAGTACCTTTCACTCCCAGTTCCCTCTGCCGGGAAAGTTCTTCCCTAGAACATCAGCAGGGCTCACTCCTTCACCCCCCTCCAATGTCACTGTTCAGTGAGGTCTTCCCTGGCCACGCTATTTCACACTGCAACTCTCGTGCCCCTCACCCAGCTCTGTTTGATACATAACACTTACCACTTTCTAACATTTGAGATATATATTTTTTTCTTTTCTTTTTTTTTTTTTTGAGATGGAGTCTCACTCTGTCGCCCCAGGCTGGAGTGCAGTATTGTGATCTCGGCTCACTGCAACCTCCGTCTCCCGGGTTCAAGAGACTCTCCTGCTTCAGGCTCCTGAGTAGCTGGGACTACAGTTGTGTACCACTGCGTCTGCTTACTTTTTATATTTTCAGTAGAGACGGGGTTTCACTATGTTGGTCAGGCTGGTCTCGAAGTCCTGACTTCAGATGATCTGCCCATCTTGGCCTCCCAAAGTGCTGGAATTACAGGCGTGCGCCACCACAACCGGCCTCTAACATTATATATAATGTACTCATTTAATGTATTGTCTATGCCAGGTGTGATGGCTCACGCCTGTAAACTCAACACTATAGGAGGCTGAGGCAGGAGGAGCAATTACATCCAGGAGTTCAAGACCAGCTTGGACAACATAGTGAGACCTTGTCTCTACAAAAAAAAAAAAAAAAAAAGCCAGGTGCAGTGGTGCGTGCTTGTAGTCCCAGTTACTCTGGAGGCTGAGTTGGGAGAATCACTTGAGCCCAGGAGATGAAAGATGCAGTGAACTGTGATCACACCACTGCACTCCAGCCTGGGTGATAGAGTGAGACCCTGTCTCAAAAAGAAAAATGTCATATTTTCTGTTCTGTGCAGTGACAGAAAAAAAAATTATTGTCTGTTTTCCAACTAGTAGCATACCAAAGGCGGGGGGACAGGAGTGGTCCAGTTTGGATACAGGCAAAAAGAAGGTGCACTATCTGTAGAGAATTTAAAAACAAAAAAACTGACCAAGGCTGGGCATGGTGGCTCACACCTGTAATCACAGCACTTCGGGAGGCCAAGGCAGGCAGATCACCTGAGGTCAGGAGTTCAAGACCAGTCTGGCCAACATGGTGAAACCCTGTCTCCATAAAAATAGAAAAATTAGCCAGGTGTGGTGGCACATGCCTGTAATCCCGGGTACTTGGGAGACTGAGGCAGGAGAATCGCTTGAGCCCAGGAGGTGGAGGTTGCGGTGAGCCAAGATCGTGCCATTGCACTGCAGGCTGGGCCACAGAGTGAGACTCTGTTTCAAAAAAAAACAAAACAAAACTGACCAAAAGTTGATCTGGTTTTTATTTTCCTTTGCACTGACATTTCTAAACAGTATCAATGATAAAATAGTCTTCCCCAGGGAAGAAACAGAAACAAAAACCTTTTGGTGGCCTGCTTTCTAAACAATTGATGCAATACAAAACAGGGGGGAAAGAAAAACAATTGATGCAATTACTGTCAAGTTTGTTTTTCTTTTTTTTTTTTTTTTTTGAGACGGAGTCTCACTCAGTTGCCCAGATTGGAGTGCAGTGGTGCGATCTCGGCTCACTGCAAGCTCCGCCTCCCGGGTTCACGCCATTCTCCTGCCTCAGCCTCCCGAGTAGCTGGGACTACAGGCGCCCGCCGCCACGCCTGGCTAATTTTTTGAATTTTTAGTAGAAATGAGGTTTCACCGTGTTAGCCAGGAAGGTCTCGATCTTCTGACCTCGTGATCCGCCCGCCTCGGCCTCCCAAAGTGCTGGGATTACAGGCTTGAGCCGCTGCGCCCAGCCTTTGTTTCATTTTTTGTGATGGAGTTTCGCTCTTGTTGCCTGGGCTGGAGTGCAATGGCGCAATCTCAGCTCACTGCAACCTCCACCTCCCAGGTTCAAGCAATTCTCCTGCCTCAGCCTCCCGAGTAGCGTGGATTACAGGCATCTGCCACCACACCCGACTAATTTTGTATTTTTAGTAGAGACAGAGTTTCCCATGATGGTCAGGCTGGTCTTGAACTCCCAACCTCAGGTGATCCGCCCACCTCAGCCTCCCAAAGTGCTGGGATTACTGGCGTGAGCCACCACACCTGGCCTGTCAAGTTTCTCTTTTTTGTTTTGTTTTGTTGTTGTTGTTGTTGTTGTTTTAGACGGAGTCTCGCTGTCGCCCAGACTGGAGTGCAGTGGCACAATATGGGCTCACTGAAAACTCCGCCTCCCGGGTTCAAGCGATTCTCCTGCCTCAGCCTCCCAAGTGGCTGGGGCTACAGGCACACATCATCATGCCCAGCTAATTTTCGTATTTTTAGTAGAGACAGGGTTTCACTATGTTGGCCAGGCTGGTCTTGAACTCCTGACCTCGTGATCTGCCCACCTTGGCCTCCCAAAGTGCTGAGATTACAGGTGTGAGCCACCCCTGGCCTTTTTTTTTTTTTTTTAAGACCAGTCGTGCTGTTGCTGCTCAGGCTGGAGTGCAGTCAGCGCAAATACTGGTTCACTGCAAACTCTGCTTCGGGGTTCAAGCGATTCTCTGCCTCAGCCTCCTGGGTTTCACGGTGTTAGCCAGATGGTCTCCATCTACTGACCTCGTGATCCGCTGTAGTCTCCTCCCAAAGTGCTGGGATTACAGGCATGAGCCACCACGCCGGCCCTCCTTTTTTTTTTTTTTTTTTTTTTTGAGACGGAGTCTCACTCTGTCGCCCAGGCTGGCTCTGTCGCCCAGGCTGGAGTGCAGTGGCCGGATCTCAGCTCACTGCAAGCTCCGACTCCCGGGTTTACGCCATTCTCCTGCCTCAGCCTCCCGAGTAGCTGGGACTACAGATGCCCGCCACCGTGCCCGGCTAGTTTTTTTGTATTTTTTTACTAGAGACGGGGTTTCACCGTGTTAGCCAGGATGGTCTCGATCTCCTGACCTCATGATCCACCCGTCTCAGCCTCCCAAAGTGCTGGGATTACAGGCTTGAGCCACTGCACCCGGCCCCGGCCCTCCTTTTGAGTTTTTGTGTTTAAAGCTCAAAACTGGACGGAAACCCCATCTCTACAAAAAATACAAAAATTAGCTGGGTGTGGTGGCGGGTGCCTGTAATCCCAGCTACTCAGGAGGCTGAGACGGGAGAATTGCTTGAACCCGGAAGGGGGAGGCTGCAGTGAGAGCTGAGATCCCACCACTGCATTCCAGCCTGGGCAACAAGCGAAACTGTCTCAAAATAAAATAAAATGAAAGAAAGAAGAGGCCTATGCCTTCTTCCAAGCCTCAACGGCTCAGCACATACTTCTCTGTTTTCATGCTCAAGCCTGGGTTTAGTGGGTCTGAGTGGCAGTGGGAGATTCAAGTGCTGGGAGAAACCTTTGGTCTCACATTCAGACTTCACCTTGAGTCCCATGACCTCACTGCAAGGTGAGACTTCCACTGTTTAAGGTAAACACCATTTTGAGAACTCAGTTATCAAAATGTATTATTATGCTACGAGGGAGGCTGACGAGTGGGAGTGGCCCTGGCTCCTGAACACACTATTCTCTTTCCTGCCTGAAGACCTCTGCATTTGCCATTCCTGATGCTTGGAATGTTTGTCCCTTGGCCTTTATCATCCTTCAGAGTTCATTAACAAAGCCACCCCTCACAGAGCCCTTCCTCCACCACCCAATTCAAACGATCTCGTTATTTTCCATCCCAGCTCCCGATTCATTTTCTGCATAGCACTGTTAAAGTGTTTTCAGGCCTGGTGTGGTGATTCATGCCTGTAATACATTATTGGAAGGATGAGACAGGAGGATCCCTTGAAACCAGGAGTTTGAGACCACCTTGGGCAACATAGCAAGACCCCTGTCTCCACAAAAAATTTAAAAATCAGCTGGGTGTGGTGGCTCACATCTGTAGTCCCAGCTACTTGGAAGGCTGAGGTAGGAGGATCCCTTGAGCCTGGGAGGTCAAGGCTGCAGTGAGCCAAGATCATGCCATTGCACTCCAGCCTGGGCAACAAGAACAAAACTCCATCTCAAAAAAAAGAAAGAATAAAAAAAAGTGTTTTCAATAATAATGCATTTATTTTGATTACCTTGTTGGCTGTCCTCTACTCGTGTGCCTGCCCCACTCCATTCCCCTTTCTAGAGTCAGCTCACGTAACTCCTCTTCCAGGAAGCCCTCTTTGACTCCCAGGCTTGGTCAGGTGTCTCCTCTGGGATTCCCCAGGGGCTTCCTTTCTCTCAATTCTGATGCTGCCTGTGCTAAGTATTTGTCTCCATATCTGTCCTGAGAACCTTGGAGCCAGGGCCCGGGGCTGTTGTTTTTGCATGGGCCTATCACCTCCTCCAGGAAGTCCTCCTTGGCCCTCTCTCAGGCTGGATGGGAAAGCTGTCTGGGCTCCCATCATGCCCTGGTTTTCTAGCGTCCCAGCCTCTGATCCCGCAGCTTGGCCTTCCCCATCACAGCTTTCATCACTGCGCTAAGCTTCCGCTATCACTACTCTGGGCCGTTCCTGCTCGGTGACTCAGGGACCAGTCTGGCACGGCCACCGCTGGGTCCCCAGCATTAAGCCCCGGAGCATGAGCCCAGTGAACTTTGAATTCAGGAAGGAATTCACAGGAAAGCTGCGGGGAGGCGGGCAGAAAACCACAGGCTTCCAAGAAACGCGTGTCTGCCGCCCCCTCCTCCCACCCTGAGACCAGTCCAATGGAGAAGGCCCTCCTCGGACTTCGTCACCAAGCCCACGGGAAGGGTGAAAGGGGCTCAGCGAGCAGGCGCCCCACCCCGCCAGGTTCTGTTGGAGACCAGGCTCGCGCAAGTCCCGCCTCTTCCCCCGGCACCAGGGGCGGGCCCAGGTGCGCCCAGGGCGGGGGAGTGGCCGCGCAGGTGCCGGCCCTTTGCGCCTGCGCCCTGCTCGCCCTGCCTAGCCAGGTGCGGCCCGCCCCCTGCCTGCCCTGCCACCTTCGGGAGCTGCTTCCAAAGGCGTTCGCCATTGGCTCTGGCGACCCCCGTGCGTTGGGAGGTGTAGCGGGGCTCTGAACGCGCGGAGGACCGTTGAGTGTCGCAGGCGGCGAAAGTGCGAGTGAGGAGCAGACCCAGGCATCGCGCGCCGAGAAGGCCGGGTGTCCCCGCACCGAAGGTCCGGAAAGGCGACTTCCGGGGGCTTCGGCACCTGGCGGACCCTCGCGTGAGCGCCGGCACCTGAACGCGAGGCGCTCCAGTGCGCGTGCGCGGCGAGGGGCTTCCGGCACCTGATCGCGAGACCCCAACGGCTGGCTGCTTGTGGCGTCGCCTGCGCGTCTCGGCGGAGCAGGCAATGGCGCAGCTGTGCGGGCTGAGGCGGGGCCGGGCGCTTCTCGCCCTGCTGGGATCGCTGCTCCTCTCTGGGGTCCTGGCGGCCGACCGAGAACGCAGCATCCACGGTGAGAGCCGGGCGGGGAGACTGGAGGCGGGGCGCAGGGGGCAGGGGCTCGGGGGTCAACGGGGGTCTGAGCAGGGAGAACTGGCGGGGGAGGAAACTGGGGGCGACTTGATGGCGTTCAGCGGGTGTGGTGGAATCAGCCCTGGCGGATTGAGCCTTGAGATGAGGTTTGGGAGCCCTCGAGAGCGAAGACGGGCGGAGGAGCGAGGGTTAGGAGAGTTTCCTTCGGGTGAAGGAAGAGTCTAAGGGTATTAACCAAGAAGGCGTGGCACTGTTCCTTCCTGTGGCAGGAACGGGGTGAGCAGCCGCACTGAAGGCCTGCCTCCTCCTGGCGGTGGAATGTACCATGGCCAAAGCCCAGGGAGAGGCCAGGCCTGTGAGAGGGTGGGGGTTGGATTGGGTGACCTGGTGGCCGTTTTAGACTAAGGGAAGAAGCCCACCTCACCCCTGCCTCTTTGGAGATTGGGCGAGAGCCTCCCCCGAAGTTTTTGTAGTTGAATTGCACTAGGTGCCTTAGAAGGAGGGAGCAAGAAAGGAAACAAGCGTTGGGGAAGAGGAAGCTCTGCTAAGGCGCGAGAGAGTATTGGCAGCTGGAGTTGGGTTCTTTGAATTGGTCCTTAGAAGTCTGTGGCGAATAAGGTGATTTAAACCTCTACACTCTTAAGGAAGTATGGTCTGAAAGGTCTCTTTGAACAAGTGTTGTTATAACCTTAACTGCTTCAGACAAGCACCAGCGGGTTTTGAAAAGAGCTCTCTTGAAAGAATTCATTGATTCAGCAAAACTTAACTGAGGCCCTGCTACGAGTCAGGCACTGGCGCTGGTGATAAGTTAACTCAGACGAGCTGGGTTCCTGCGTTCACAGAGCTAATATTCTAGTGGGAGAGGCAGAGCTAGTGAAGGTTTATTTTATTTTTTTGATGGAATAAAATCAAATTATGAGTCTCGCTTTGTCGCCCGGGCTGGAGTGCAGGGGCTCGATCTCGGCTCGCTGCAAGCTGCGCCTCCCAGGTTCACGCCATTCTCCTGCCTCAGCCTCCGAGTAGCTGGGACTACAGCCGCGCACCACCACGCCCGGCTAATTTTTTGTATTTTTAGTAGAGACGGGGTTTCACCGTGTTAGCCAGGATGGTCTTGATCTCCTGATCTCGTGATCCCCCCGCCTCGGCCTCCGAAAGTGCTGGGATTACAGGCGTGAGCCACCGCGCCCCGATAGTGAAGGTTTAAAAAGCACTTGCCATGAGATTAAGTTACTGAGAATTAAATGAACCAGGTGAAGTACACCAACTAAGATGTTGGGGGTGGCTTTAGCTCAGGTGGTTGGTGGAGGTCTCTGTGAGGAGGGTGACATCTGAGCTCTAACATGAAGAATGAGGAGGCAGTAGCCGTACAGAGACCTGGGGGACTAGTGTCCAGTTGCAGGCAATAGAGTACAAAGGCCTTGAAGCTGGAACAAGCTTGGTTGGGTTTAGGGAAAAGACAGAACCAGCCTGGCTGGAGCAGGCGTGAAGGAGGCGGGGACTGGAGGAGGATGGGAGGTGGGAGAGGTAGGCTGCAGCCAGATGGCCTAGGGCTTTATAGACAGATACTGGGTGGAAAGAGAAAGCAGTCTGGATTCAGGACTAGATCTGTTAAAAAAACAAAAGGCCAAGGCTGTGCGCGGTGGCTCACACCTGTAATTCCTGCACTTTGGAAGGGCAAGGTGGGCGGATCACTTGAGGTCAGGAGTTCGAGACCAGCCTGGCCAACATGGTGAAACCCATCTCTACTAAATACAAAAAATTAGCCGGGAGTGGTAGCGTGCACCTGTAATCCTATCTACTCAGGAGGCTGAGGCAGGAGAATTGCTTGAACCTGGGAAGCGGATGTTGTGGTGAGCTGAAATCGTGCCACTGCATTCCAGCCTGGGCAACAAGAGTGAAACTCCATCTCAAAAAAAAAAAAATATATATATATATATATATATATATATATAGAAGGCCGGGCAATGTGGCTCATGCCTGTAATCCCAGCACTTTGGGAGGCCGAGGCGGGCAGATCACTTGAGGCCAGGAGTTCAGCACCACCCTAGGCAACATGATGAAACGCCGTCTCTACCAAAAATACAAAAATTAGCTGGGCATGGTGGTGCGCACCTGTAGTCCCTACTACTCGGGAAGCTGAGGCAAGAAAATCGCTTGAAGCTCAGAGGCGGAGGCTGTAGTGAGCTGAGATCAAGCCACTACACAGCAGCCTGGGCAACAGAACAAGACTCCGTCTCAAAAGAAAAAAAAAAAGAAAAAAGAGCAGGATAGGTGTGCACCAAGTCATCACCTGTGGTAACTTCTGGGGACTGGTTAATTTTCCTATGCCCCAGGCAGGAGAAAAAAGTGAATTGGTGGGGAGAGGCTCAGCTGTAGGTGACTAGGAGTCAGGCATGCAGACGCTGACCGTTCTTGCAATCAGAACCAGAATTTGGCAGCGCTGCTGGACTTTCTCAGGTGAAGTAATTACATTAGAATGTACCTCCCAAGTTACCTGGCCTCTTACTACCTCTGGTGCTTACTCTGAGCTCGGATGTGCCGTTTAACCTTTGAGACAGCTGGGTGCGGTGGTGAAGTTACGTGCCTTGTCCGAGGTCACTCTGCAGTAGTAATTGACAAAGCCAGGTCTCACTGCAGAGGCCTTCTCTGTTCAGAGTGGCATCCCTGACTGCTGCTGCCGGCTGGACCTACTGACCTTTCAGAAGTACTAGTGTCTGACTGGGTGAACTAATGCCCTCACTTATCACAAGTTCTGTTTGTTTGAAAGCTTGAACAGCTTAATCGGAGGCAGGAGGTAGTTTTGATTTTTTTTTTTCCTCCCTCCTTCCTGATTGCTTCTGTTTTCTCCGGAAGCGAGTCATCCACTGGGAGTGTGGTGTTGCTGAAGCTCCATGCAGTGGCTCAGGTGCTGCCGGATGAATGTTGTGGTGAGGGAGGAGTGAGCAGAGAATGTGTGAGGGAGTGAGGATGGGGGTTGGTCAAGAAATTTATTCTATGTGAAGATGTGAGGGGGCGGAGGGCCGAGTTGGTAGGGCCAGCAGATTGTTGGAGTTGAGGTTCTGAAGGGAATGAATCAGACAGATAGGATGCAGTGGGTAGTGAGTGAGATGCATGAGAGGGAGGTTCTGAAGAGGTGGCAGTTATTGAGACAGGTCTAGGTGTGACCCTGAGAGGGAGGGGGTCGAGGGTGGGGCGAGGGTGGGATGAGATCAGCTGGAGGAACCTCCAGAGAACCATCTACCTGGATATAGAAATCTCTAAGAATGATAAGAGCAGCGGGAGAGGTGGCAGGCCAGGAGCTAAAGTTGGGAAGAAAGGAGTAGTTGTCTGGGTTGGCAGACAACGTGCCAGGCAGGGTAGTGAATGATTTACTCTGATAATGGGAGTCTGTCAGCTGGGGGTTTTGGGAAGGGTGGAGGGAGAACAGTCCAGAAGCAGCTCCCGGAAGCAAGGAGACCTCCGTACTTGGAAGGGCCCCAGGAGGTGTGTCCTCAGAGGAGATTGCGGTTAGGTGAGAGGGTGGCAACAATGTTCAGAGGAGAGATTGAGGACATGGAAGATTTGCGGAAGACCAGTCCTGAGTACCAGAGGGCCCAGGAGTTGGAGGAGGGGAGATGGGGACAAAGCAGGCCCCACCGTGTGAGAGCGAGGGTTAATTCAGGGGTCGGGGCTTCCTGTGATAAGCATCATGTGGTCTACGATTGATGTGTCGATGAGGCTCTCAGTAGTGAGGGCAGGTGGGAAGGGACAGGTGGACGGGCCGGACACGGCCCAGCAAAGAGCGTCCAGACTCCAACCTCTGCAGACAGAGGTGGGGGGAAAGCTGAGCTTGTGCCAGGTGAGAAAGCTCTCTGATCTAGTGTTAGGTACAATTACAGTCTGGAGTGGAAAGCACGCAGATTATGAACTGGGCCACTCCCAGGAAGCTTCACACAGCCTTTATGTGACTGGTACATTTAACAGAATTGCAACTTTTTAAACGTAAAAATGTAGTTTTTGGCTTTGCCTGAAAAACATGAAGATGTAATGGAACCAGACCAGAACACAGGCCTGTTTTCCTGCCCAGCATTCCCGGGTTGGAGCCCAGTACCTCTTTCAGGAAGGAGATATACCACTCCCAGCCTGTAGGTACTTACTCAGCCTGCCTCATCTCAACTACTGCCTGCCCTCTATCTCTCTAGGCCTTTGGCTTGTGACCCCTACCTTAAACATATGCACCATTTAGTAAAAGGTAACATGTAACAGTTCTCTATAAATTGTACATTACAGTGTGAGACAGAGTGTGTGTGTCTGTGGGTATGTATGTGTGTTATGGCTGTTCGGGGGAATCCTTTTATCAGGTAGCCGCAACTATACATGATTTTTTTTATTTTTCCTTTTCCCCACCCAGGTGGTAAATTCTGGAATTTGGAGGGTCCTGAAATGTGTAATATTGATCAACACTGGACCAGATCGTGTATTTCCTCCGCAGAATAGGAACTTGAAAGGTCCTTTAGGAGTGGCCAATTAGGTGTAGTTCTTGCTGCCAATAACTTTGTGCCTGGCCCTGGGCGTCAGAACTTGTGTTAATGGTTACTTGGCTCAAGGTCCTTTGTGTTTTTTTGTTTTGTTTTGGAGACGGAGTCTCTGTCATCGCCCAGGCTGGAGTGCAGTACTGCAGTAACTGCAAGCTCCGCCTCCCGGGTTCACGCCATTCTCCTGCCTCAGCCTCCCAAGTAGCTGAGACTACAGGTGCCCGCCACCACGCCCGACTAATTTTTTGTATTGTTAGTAGAGACAGGGTTTCACCGTGTTAGGTTGGTTCAAGGTCCTTTGTTGATTCTTCTTGGAAATTTCCACTGGAGGCAAGCAGGGCAACACTCATTTGAGAACCTCTCCTGCATTTTTTTTTTTTTTTTTTTTTTTGAGACAGAGTCTTGCTCTGTTACCCAGACAGGAGTGCAGTGGCGCCATCTTGGCTCACTGCAACCTCTGCCTCCT